TATAATTATTTTAAGACGCATAGATTAGTCTCTTTCATCAACAGGTTTACTCAACCTTCCGGTAATGCAAAAATATCCTTAAGCATTACAAATATTATAATAAGTGATTAAATGGTTAGATGGCATGCACTAAAGATTCTGCGAATCCAACAAACCAAATTACACAAATAGTAAAATCACAAGAAAAGAAAACAAAGGCCAAGAAATTCTTCTAGACAGAAATACATCATAGCTGGTAGAAAAAGATTGTTCCGACATCATCCTTCGTAAACCAAAAAGATTAAGGAAACACAAAAAAAAAGTGAGATCTATGTTTAGCTCATAAAGGACCGTCCGATATCTCAAAGTTTCTTATCCAAATCTTTACAGAAATGACAACTGAATCGAAAAACTCATATGGTTTATGCCAAAAGACTGTAAATTCAGCTTATATTTATACTTCAAACAACATGCTTTAATTCATTCACAAAAAGTAACCATTTTGTATATATTTTTTTGCCACTTTCTTTTTGTCGATATGAAGGAGGTCCGTACATCATACGGATCCTTGCACTCATAAGAATCAAAGTTACACTAGCAAAAAGGAAGATCGTACTTTGGTTCGTAATCTTTGTGAAAGTAACAAAAACCCTGGTTTTTGATCATTTAAAATTAGTGCACTAATTAATTTGATTAGGGCATAAACGTGTTCAATACGCTAGCAAACACATAATTCAGATTTAGTTCGAATTCGGTCAATATTGAATTCGAGATGACTAATTAAGAGCTGAAGTTAAGAATGCCTAAAACGATTAATTACAATCACTACATTATCAGAATTCCTGCATGCTACAAACTCAAGATAAAATCTTAATTTATTGACCTTAATATGCTTTTTTCGACTTTAAAGCATAAATGGCCCAAAAGCTTTTGGTAAAGGATTATGGGAAGCTAGCTCGATCATTTAATTTTGGCAAGTGATTTTGCCAGGACACTTTTTAGCATCCAGGGTAAAAATGACCTTCCTACCCTTATAATACCTTGTTATCTTCTTCCTCGGTTCCGTATCTCTGTTTTGTCTTCTTTAATCTAATTTCCGTCGCCTGCTTCTTCTCTCCCTTAAATCACATCCTTCTTCTTTCTATCCCGTAGCGGCTACAATAAAATTTTCAATAATTTTACCGGCGGCAAGCAATATAACACTGATATTTTCCTCCATCTTCTCGGTAATGTTTTTCTTTTTTTTTTCTTTAATTTTAATTTTATAGCAGATATCGGAATTTTAATTCTAGAAAAACCCAAGCCAAGAATAAAAAAATCAAAATGGGTGTGTAAGTTCTTTACTTCAATTTGATTGATTTTTAGTGGTAAATTTTATTTGATTTAAATTTATCATTGCTTTGTGTGTTTGATTACTTCAAAGACCTGATCTAAAATTTTTTTGAATCAGATTGCTCCTTCAGCCTCCACGTTTTTCTCTCTTTTTTTGGGCGTTGATTTGGCGTCCAAGTTTTCAAATTGAGATTTGAGTTAGACAAATAAGAAGCCGTTATGTGATCGATATTTGGCGTTGAGAGTGTGATTAACTTTTGCTTAGATGGGGCAATCTCTCTGAATATATATTGTAAATTTGTGATATAGATGCTGGAGCAATTCTTGTGATGTATTATACGAAACCCAAGCAACTCTGCAAACTCACGATGAGATGATGCATTTTGACGTAATTGGAGTTTGGACTGAGATGTGTTTGCAATTTGTTATGATAGCCATAGCATAGCAACATTTGTGTACTTGTGGGAATATGTTGTACTGTTTATTCATTGTTGTGATTGATAGCTCTTGGAATTGGATTTAGAACAAGGACATAACGAAATGAGACAAGCTTCGATAAGGGTTTTTTTGGAAAGAGATGTAATTTTTTGCCCCGGATGCTATTTTTTGTACTGGCAGAATCCATCCTTTCACATGTTTAATTAATGAGCAATGATAGAGTGACAAAATATAGTAAATTAAGATAGTGACTAATGAAAAGACATTGTACACCACACTCATTATACATGTGTATATATAATTAAGGGTGAAATGGTAATTTACTTGGAAAAATAAAATCTCAAGAAGATTGACAAAAAAAAATAAGGAGTCATAATTACTCTACATCACTCACTAATTTTTGTCACTATCTTTTTTCACTGTACATATCATTTTCTTTAATTAATACGATTAATTACAAATGTTTTAATTTGTGGCCATTTCATAAACTGATTGACGTTCGTCAACGTATCTTGCAAATAAACTTGAGTATCAAACCTTGTACTTTGAGCCTCTTTTGTCAGTATTTCATTTACTTTGAAATTAATCAACGTAGTTATTATCTTCCGGCTTTTTTTTTTTTTTTTTAAATCTTCTCTCTCGTAAAACAATTGGCAATTTAGGTTTCAGTATATAATACTTCCTCTATCCTAAAATTATTGTTCAGTTTGAGATTTCACTTTTAGTACAATTTGAACAAGAAATGAAAACTCAAACTGGACAATAATTATGGAACGGATGGAGTAAGAAATATAATAGTATGACTGAGGGACAAAAAAAAACAGAAAGAAAATGATGCGATTGTTTTAAATTATAACAAACCATTATTATCATCAACAACATATACATAAAATAATGCAGAAATCATTGATGCGGTAGACCTTTAAATATTATAGTTGAGTTGTCTCTCTTTTCCATTTCATATAGTACGTGGCGATTCTCCCATCCTTGAATAGTATATGTTGTGGGGACTCCCCATACCCTTTTATAGAAGTGCCGACTCAAAATAGTATTAACAAATAAAAGCCAAGGAAAGTTCCGACCTTTTTTAACTCACAACCATTTTGATGTTAATTAATCCTTAATTATTGCCTCAGAAAATGCTGTTATTCTCATTGTAAGAGAGAAATAAGTGAGAGTTTTCGGAATAGAGAAGGGGACACGTCATGATTTTTAATCACACGATAAATTTATTTATATTATTCTGTTATGAAATTATTGTCTAATTTGTATTTTCATTTTTATTATAAATTTCGAGACGAGATATTATTATTTTTTTTCCTTAAAGGATAATCCAATCTTTTGTGATTTGTAAACATATAAAAAGTTTTACAAGGGCGCCTACTATCCAAAGTCTCTTGTTGGAGTTCATTTCATTAATTCATCGAACCAGAAGAGGGAGAGCGATTTATAACTTTTCATAGTTCGAGCGTTGTTTGTAGTTTTCCCAATTCACGAAGGGATTTAGGTACTTTACACTTTTCACTATTTAAAAAGCGGTGTTTTTTTGTTTGCTTTTTTTTTTTTTGGGTTAATATTGACTATCTTGTAAGAAAAATTATTTATAGCTGCTATATCCTGATTTTTAGTGCAGCAAGTACTAGTACCCCTATTTTGATAGTATAACTCTCGTAAAAATTATCTCTCTCCCTCTTAAAATTATTATTTTACTCTATTATTGTGTCTGGTTGCACAATCTTACGTACTCCTACAGTTGCACTGAATAATTTTTCATCTCACAAAGAATGAGAGAACAAGTGAGAGCATACACTAATTTTGTGTCCAGTTTTCAAAAAATTATAACCCATAATGCTCTGGCAAAACGTGATAAAAATAATTTCGGACTTCTAATTTTGTGTGCATTTCTAAATTTGATTCTTTTCTTTTTGCTAGATAAGGAAGATGTTGCCGATCTAGAATACTTTTTGATGTTTAGAATAACTTGATGCGGCTGAGTTCAATTAATTCCAAAAAAGAATTTCCAAATATAGTTATGTTTTTTTCTTTTTTCTTTTTGTTTTGTTGTTGAGGGTTCATATAAAAAAAACCCCTATTACTCACCATAGCACTCATCAAAAATCATCATAGGATATACCACCTGTTTCCTTCGTCACGTACTAAGACAAAGTTGCTTGAATATATTATGTCCTAAAAGCCCCAAAAATGGCATCCACAAAGCTAATTTAATCTTGATATGATGGTGATTTCCCTTGCATCTATCCCCTTAAGAAGTAAGCAAATATAACACTTGGGATTCTTCCATTGGTAACCTTGTGGCTTTCAAGCTTAAAGATAGTTGCCACCCACCTATTTTTTTAAGTTTTAATAGGATTAGCAATATAATGCTTTTTGGCTTTTTTGAGTTTTTATATGAATAGATCCCTATGTAGAGTTGACACTTGTCCCTTGTCCTTATAATTTTTTGCGAATTCTTTTTTTTTTTTTTTTCTCTTTGAGCATATCCCATCATCAAGATGTATGCTAAGTTGATTTGATTCAAGTGCAAACTTGTCATGAAATGCTTTAACAAGTTTCAAGTTTTTCTTAACTGCTCCTTAATTGAAAGTGACCTTTCACCTCACTCGATATATCAAGAACAAAATTACTAATCTATTAGGCGCTGTATAGTCTAAAAATGTGCGTAATAGACTCAATCTTGAGCTTTTGCCTTCTTTAGTTTGAGATTTTGAGTACGAATTAAGGGTGGTAAGCTTGAAAAACAAAATCTGGATTCTTTTCGAGAGTTTAGAAAGCATATTATCTCTAGTTGATTCTCGTGGGGGAAAAAAGGAAATGAAAACACTTTTGGAGGATTCAATCATAAAACCAACAAGAGTACGCAATTTTTTCTGAATCCTCAAATTAGTAATTTTGAGATGTATCATATAATATTTGTTTAATGTGTTCGCTAGACAGATGCATTATACGATAAGGGTGACAAGTAATTAATGCAAAACAGCAATCGAATAAACTATTATCAAAATTAAGGGTACATGGAATTAAGATCATATATATGGAAAGGCAAATTCAGAAATGTGGGAGCCATAGTGCAAAAAAATAGATCATTTTTCCAATTTGTTTTATGCTCTACACACTGATGACTGAAAATGACATCAATTTGACTGATGGGGGATAAATCAGAGTTCATTTGCCAATATAAATATGCCAGAGGCCCTCCTTTGCATTATGTCATAAGCTACATTTTCAAGTTCAACAAATCCTCTTATGGTATAGCATTATATACACCTACAAATAGTTACTTCTAAAGTACTAAAAAAAAAGCTTGAATTTTTTTGCCTTATAATTTTATGTCTTGGGGAAGGATGATGGCAGCAGATCAATTAGGTTGGGGAATGGTGGAAGAAGGGTGGAGAAAAGGGCCTTGGACTGCTGAAGAAGACAGATTACTAATTGAATATGTCAAGTTGCATGGTGAAGGCAGATGGAATTCTGTCTCTAGGCTTGCAGGTAAATAAAACCACTAAATTAATTCAAATTTTAATTATATCAATCATGTGTTAATCAATTTGTCTCCCTTAAATTTATTGGTTTTTATCTATATTATCCCTTCTTCTTGTTGCAACTTTTAACTAGCTACTAGAATCTTTGCTTCCACTACCAACTTGGTGGAACTCATGATCATCATCAAAATATATATACCTTCATGCAGAATGTATGCAATAAAATACGTGTCCATAAAAATAGTATTTGGCTTAATATGTTCCTTTTTGTTCTTCATCATGTTCAGGATTGAAGAGAAATGGGAAGAGCTGTAGGCTGAGATGGGTGAATTACTTGAGGCCAGATTTGAAGAGGGGACAAATAACTCCACATGAAGAGAAGATCATTCTTGAGCTTCATGCTAGGTGGGGAAATAGGTGAGTTTAATTTTATTTGTATCTGATGAGATTCGAACTTGAAACTCGTAATTATAATCTCTCACCCCTCGAATAACGTTACTAAAAACACTTGTTAAAAAATGTTTGAATGTATATATAGGTGGTCTACTATTGCTAGAAGCTTGCCAGGAAGGACAGATAATGAGATCAAGAATTATTGGAGGACTCATTTCAAGAAGAAGGCAAAAGGATCATCTGATATCAATAATTTGAACTCAGAGAAATCCAAAGCGCGCATTTTGAGAAGGCAACAATTTCATCAGCTTCAACTTCAGCAACAGCAGCAGCAGCAACAACAACAACAACAACAACTACTTCAACCTCAGCAGCAACAAACAGATCAAACTGATAATCATCAAACATTTGACATGAAAAAGCTCATGTCATTACTTGATCATCAGCAACATCATGAGGCTGATGAGAATAACAATATTAAAAGAGAGGGAGTATATGTCCCAACCAATCTTGTTGTTCCTTACAATCAGTACTACAACTCATCTGGTGACAATCATCAAGTATTCCTGTGCTCCATGTTCAACAATTACGCCGTCGCGCCGGAAGGAATCAATGATCAAGACAGCATTTGGGATGGTCTGTGGAACTTGGATGATGTTAATGGAAGTATGAATTATCCAAGAAATGCCATTTATCATGCACCAGCACAAGCAGCAACAGCAGCAGCAGTTGTCCCTTTCTATTAGTCAATAATTTTATGGCCAAAAAAAGCCTTTAATTAGATTTGAGTTCTGGCTTCTTCTTTTTTTTTTCCCTTAAAAAAAGAATTAGTTGATGAGCTTTCTTTATTTTGGGAAACCAAAGGTTTTCTATTTCGAAGGCAAGAAGAGATCGTGAGATGTTTGTGGTCTTTTTGTTTGTCCAAATGTGTAGGTATTTTATTATATGATCGAACTCCATAGCCCATGCAAGGTGATTCGGACTTGGTATTTAATTTTCCACACAAATGTAACTTTCTAAATTCTAATTAATTAAGATGCTTAATTTTGCAACTTCTTCTTCTTCTTCTTATTGTACGTGTTTGAATCAATTAGATCAATAAATTATGCTTTAGTATATTGAAGTTTTGATGCCTCGTGAATAACCAACCAATAATACAAAACAAACAATTCAATGCATCGTGCAGATAATTTATCTTCAAACGTTTATTACTTACATGAAAATTTCCAAATTTTTTCTTTTCAACTGTAATATCTTACATGATATTTTTTCTGCCCTAAAATTATTGTCCAATTTAAATTTTTTATTTTTATTTTTTATATTAAAAATTGAAACAATAATATTGATACATAAGAAACATAATAGACATATAGAATAAATCCTGGGGAAATGAGCAGTAAACTGTTGGCTTTAGCAACATCCGAGTACTAAAGTTTTAGATTAAAGAGAAGCCAAAAGGGGATGCCCAAGCGGTCAAGGGTTAGGCATCCAATCTGGAGATCTCGGGTTTGAAATTGCACAGTAACAAAATGTTGCCTTTCTTTGCATATAGATTGCAATTGGAAGTTCTTTAAGCACCCGATAGACGCGCAGAAAGAGACGTTGCAGGCGTGAAGTTGTCCCCCACTAGACTAGACCAGTAGTAGGTCCCCTTCTCCAAACTCATACATGTAATAGCATAAGTGCTTGTAAGAATTGTATAAAAGAAAAAGTTTAAAAGAGAAGTTTTTGCGTTCTTTTTTTCTTTTCCTTTTTCCTTCTTTCTTTTTTTCCCTCCGTTGGATTTGGTAAATTTTAGAAGGCATAGAGGGCCATTAGAAGAAAACTTTCAGCAGTTTCAATGATTCATGGAATGGAATGATGGATTACTGTGGAAAAAATTATTAGTAAATAGATTTATGGGTTGTGGTGCATCAATAATATCAAACACGAGGCTGAAGATCAGTTGATTGTACCACGTTGCAGCTTCTGCATGGTGGTGTTGTTTGCTTTCTCTATTTCTGGATAAAACAAAAAACACACTCTAAAAGTACTCGTCAATGTCGTCATTCCCTCCCTAAAAAAATAATTGGACAAAAAAAGTACTAAATTATTTCAAAATATGGAAATACACCCTTTCCCCCTTTGATAAAATTTTTCTTTTTTTTTTTTTAAAAAAGAAACCTTTATGTATTCTACTTAATGTTGTAGGCGATTTGTCTCCTTTAATTGTACCAAAAAACAAATTATTTTTCAGTTCAGTTGAAACAGTAATTTTCCAGACACTGAATATGTATGTAATATACCAGAAAAAATAGCTTTATTCAAAGCCAAAAATCCATGGAAAACAATAATTTTCCAAACACGGAAAGCAGTGCACAAATGAAGTAGCTAGATACGACCTTTTAATTATTCATCACCCAATCATGTCAGCAAAAATGTCTTCTTCGTCTTATTCTTTTGTTATTTTTGTCTTTATTTTTTTGCCTCAAATGTTGGTTGGATTCGTGACCTCGTCTGTAACATTTACTTTTCAACTTAGCATTCGTTCCTAGTTTGATTGAACATTGCAGCAATCCAGTTATGAAAGCTTTACAAGACAATCCAGTTCGAACATTGTTCTGAAATGAAGTGGCATTGTTGAGATCAATTGTTTCCAGCTTAACTCAACAACCATTAGTATAAGTTAAGGATCGTACTCCCTCTGTCCTAAAATATTAGACTAGATAAAGTATTCACGTGCTCAATAAACTCGCATCAAACAACCCTTCATTGATCAAATCTGTAAAGTGGGTAAGCTAAATTATTGCAAACTGTACACATCTTCTGGAAAACAGAGAGAATGGATAACACTATGCAGAAAGACAAAAAAGAAAAAGAGAATCCAGTTGAAGCTCTTACTCGTTAAGATATATATCAGAGGAATTCTAAGATCCGTTAGTACAAAAAGATTATTGGCTAAGGTGTTCTTCGGATACATGATTCAGGTGAAATTATAGCACTTCATTGTAAGAGAATCTGACAATGAAATTGCTGACTATACATGGAGGTAGTCTCTAACAACTAGTATCGCGATCACCAGGCAAACTGATGATTTCCCCGATTATCCTCATTATGTTAGTTGTTTCTCCTTCCATGCTACATTGCAGCATCAACGAATAATGATACTTACAATGAAATCATAGACTAAAATTGCCGATGAATGGCACATTACATCAGCAACAGATCAACAAAAATCACTTGTGTTGCACTCGATGGGGGATGAATTGGTGATATTTACATGTTACTTGCCACTGATAATTCATTGTGCAATTTCATCAAATGATTTCAAAAGGATCATTAACCAACTTTTTAAATAGAATCTCACCTCCGAATATCAGGTGCTCTTTCTTGTCTATAAGGATGATGGATGGGATCAAATGCCAATCTCCTACCAGTTCTATTTCTTCTGTTTCTCTTACTTCTCCTTAACTTGGTTCCTTTTCCGACAGCAGTTTCTGTGTTGGGAACTAGATCAATCCACAGCAATGGCAATAGTGCAGCAAGAAACTGTATGCAGATCCCAATTGGTAAGTTTGAGTAATCACCAGATGTGACACCAAGAACAGAAGCCAATCCAACACCTAAGAAGCCACTCATTATTGATGACAAACACAAAGCAGAGGTAAAGAAAGACATCAAAGATCCTTCACAACCAGCCGGAGCTAAGTTTGCAAACAACACGTGGAATGGCAAGAGCTTAAATTGTGCAAGAGTTTCAGCTACTGCAGAAAAGCAAAAGACGAATCTCTCATTTGGAATTCCTAATGTAAGGTTCACTTGTTTCACAAGGATAAGGTCAAGGATGACGGTAGATGCATAGACTATCTGCAAGACACCAACTAACTTTCTCATGGGAAGATTTTTCCAGAATCGATCATACAATACCGTCAGCACAAAAAGTATCAACTGGCCAGTCACCTTTGACATCCCGATCACTGATGGATCAAGATTTAAGCATTGTGTTTGATAGCAAAATATGGAGCCTGACAGTACCGGAACCATCACAATGGAAGAAATAATCCACAGAAGAGGACGAGAGATATTGTCTCTTCTTACCACCACAACAAGATCAGAGCACTGCTTTCTAATACTTTCCAAGATGGTTCCCCTCGCAACTGAGGAAATTGATGTTTGAGGTAAGCCAAGGGACTCCTCCTTTGTCATTACAATAGTTGCAAGTTGAAGAGCAAGTAGAGCAGCAAAAGTCAGGAACATTGGCATAGGTTGTTTCACTCTCATTAAGCAAAAACCACCTAACAAGTTCCCAAGCACTCCACCAGTTGCTGACGCCGTGAATGCATAGGATTGCAGAGCCGGAATTTTATTCTTCTGGCCGTACTCAGCAACAAGAGCATCCTTAGATACTTCTGCAATAGAGGCCCCAAGATTGCCAAGAAGAACACATGCCACAAGAACAGGAAGAGCCTCTCTTGCGACTGGCATCAACGCCAATAATCCCCAGGACAAAACCTGAATAAAGACTAAAGCATAATGAAACATGTTAGGGTCATTCCATCAATGACCATACTGATAAAAGCAGCAAAACACTGAACAGAAACTCCACCCAATTGACTGGAAACAAACTTCTAATGCTGGAAGCTAGACTTCAAGCACAAGTATCCGATCATAAATGAACCTATGCAACAAGCTTGGAATAATTTACAGGCACTAAAGTATTTTTGGTTCTTATGGTTTTTAATGACACTTAATCAAGAACAGAATCAAGTCATTGTCACATGGATACAATGTCTGTCAATCAGAACTAAGGCCAACATGTGATAGCACAAATAGCTGGATTATGATTCTTCTTCAACTCTATACGTTACTATTAACTGGCCAAAGGCAATCCAAATTCATAAGTTCAAACTTTTTTCTACACAGTCACATGAACAGGGGAAGGCCAGCTGATTTGTTTTAACGTCAACTTCATCACCCCATTTCATTCAGGAAAGCAACTTTAGTCTGTTTAATACCAGGAAACTAATAATATCAGCCAACATATTCGCCATTCATATTTCACACTTTGTGAGATTCAAATCAAAGCAACGGCACGCAAAGAAAAAGCTGAGTAAGAGCATCCATTTATATCTAAAACCTGCGTAGAAACTAAAAAGAAGCAGAAGCAGCATGCAAATGGTTTTTGTTTAAAAAAACAGACATTATCCATTTATCAGGACTTTGAATCATGACAGCCACCTTAAACAAGAAAACTAGAAACAGAAAAGCCAACCAATTAGTAAAGGAAAAAAACAGTAAGCAAGATTACCTCCAATGGAGATATAAGGTATCCTATGAGCACCACCAATGTACAGAGCATCAGACAGTATCCCGTACAGAGGCTTAACCACCATAGGCAGATTACCAATGTTCTGAACCAGCTGCAAAGTTGAAGGCTCCATACTGAGATTATTAGCCATATGAAAGTTCAATCCCAGCCAAGGAAAGCACCTGAATCCATTCACCCAATACCCAAAACCGCACAATACCAACATCTGCTGAAAACCCTTTTGCAGATTGCCATTTTCCTTCTCAAAAACACCTCTTTTACTAACATTTTGAGGTGGGACTTCGATCTCTTCAGGGTTTAAGATATGGGGTGGTTTTAGCCTTCTCCAATACTTATTCACCGAGACATTTTTATTGGGATTCTGCTGCTGAAGAGACAGAATTCTCGACTTCGAATGATAGCAAGATTGATTCCTTAAATCCCTTCTGGAGCTCTTGATTTTTAAACAAAATGAAATTCCATAGTTGGGAATTAATGTACAAACCATGACTAAAACTAATTCTAATTCAATGAAAGAAGAATGAACAGAAGAACCCTTTTGGATTCCTCAGCTCAGAAGGAGGAATTTAGTTCCAGAAAATGCATAAATTTGATTGGGATAAAGAAGAAGCATTATAACAATTGGAGTAAGAGACAAGAGAAGAATCCAGAGAATTATGCATTTAGGACAAACTAGAGAGCAGGAGAGTCTTCGAATCAAAATTTTCTAATTATTATGATTAATTAACGACGACAAAAATACATGTCCTTTCAGTTTCACTGTTTCCTAGAGACAAACAGAACAACGTTTGTTCTTCGTTTATTTCTTTCCTCTGTTGATGGAAAAGATTTGAAGGGACCCAACCCAATTATTAAAACCCAAGTGGGCTCTTGTCTTCCAGAAGTTTGGTTTTGAGGCCCAAAATATGGAAAATACTGAAATAGGACGAAAGATTGATTGTGTGACTAATGACCATCACCACGAATTGTCCAAGACAAAAAAAAAAGAAAAAAAAGGTTAATATCAAAAATTATAGTCCGTGATTCTAAACGAATATTTAATCACAGATCTTTTTTGAAATGGATTTAAACACAAATCAGGTATTCAATTAACCATGGTAGGCAAACAGAGAATCATGTAATTTCAACATACACTAGAAAGATTGGTATACTTGGTCTTTTCAACGTAGTCAGAAGAAAAAGTAATTCACAATTCAAATTATCTAACTTGTGAATGCATTCGTATGTTATTCAATTGAAAGGCTCAAAATGTTTGTGCAAAGTGCATGATGACAAGTATAACTTATTTCGTCCCAAAAAAATAATCTGCATAAATGAAATTTGTGAATTTATAAGATAGATTATTTTTGTGAGACAGAAGAGCTAGCAACTTTAAAAAATCATAAAATAATTGATTAAATACCTGGATGCATCTTATATTCGTATAAATTGTAACAGTAAAGTACAATTTCCTAAGTCAAACTTCATAAAACTTTTACTATACCACCTAAACGAGACTAGCTTTATATCATCTCAACATATCCATTTCATTAGTAAATCTCTGTATCTTGAAAGTCCATCAATTAATCTCCTCTCGTATCTGGCTAATGTTTTTTTTTTTAAGAGGGCATAACCTATTAGTAGTACTATCTCAATTCTTTTCTTTTTTTTTTTTTTTTTTGATCAGCTACTATCTCAATTCTCAAGGCAAGAAGTACGCAAAAATTTAGTACGTTAGTTTCATTGCTACAGAAATTGTCAGTATGCCAAGGAGTAAACCAAGTAAACGTCAACTTTTACAACCAAGATAAGCCGTTCTCCCATCAAAGCTTTAAAATTTAAAGATTAGAATGGCTCTAATAAATCTTGCATCACTTAAGTATCCGCAAATTCCTATTCACAAGAAAGGGCAATAATATCCTTATCAGAAAGGAAAATGACTCTAACCAAGTATGAAAAATTTAGGGAATCACTGCTTAATGCGCTTCAAGAGGTTGGGAGTCAGTGTGAGACCATGCAATTCGAGTCAGATCAAATTCTTGAAAATATTGAGATTATGACAGAAATTAAAAATTTAAATATTTCTTCTTTCTTCTTAATCCAAAACAAGAGTCACGGACATGCATATCTAGATTCCAGTAGAAAGATAATTCGTATAATAAACTACCCACTAGAATCATGAATACAATAATCTAATTAATTATGTTAACTGCTACGAACACTAAACACGTTCAAATGCTAGCATAACATTGGGTGCGACGATTCCCTTGCAAGGTTCATGACCCTTAATCCTCCCTCACGGTACCACCAAGAGTACAATGCGAAGTCAAAAGATAGATAGCGTAGCAGAGTTCTTTTAATCGAGAATGAGAATTCGGAGATTTTTATTCGTTTTCTTAACAATCGTGAGTGACTCGGATCACACTCTAGGTTAATTGATAGGTATGAACCGCCGCCTCTCCCCATCTTCCTTTTGAACCAGTACGATAATCTCTATATAGCAAGAAACTCGAGAGAGCTTACAAAATGGATACCATCCCGCTTCCAAATCAGGATCTTTACATAGTTGGGACGGATCTGATATTGATATATATATGGTTTAACTTCAAAAAGAAAAAAAAAAGAAGAAAATTTAGTTGTAACTAATAACATTGGATAAATTTGAGGTGTGCAGGATAAATGTGTATACTCGAAAGCATATGTTATAATAGTGTATATATATGGACGAGCCATATAACCAAGAAAATTATAAGGGTAGGCAGACGTAAATGGGGTTGGTTGTTAGATGGCTTCAAAAATTTATTGTACATTTATCAAACTGCTAAAATATAGTACTACAATCAATTGATCATAACTTCACACATATGCTAAATGTCAGAATTATCAAGTAAATCGCTCCCTACTTTAACTAACGTTTGTGGGATATTTTCCAGTGGACGAAATTGAGTTTTCGATTCTGGAAGACAACAAGATTGTTTCTTAATTTGAATCGGTTCTGGAGTTTTATTCATTTTGATTAATGAACATAATGTGAGACTTTATAATGTTACTATAGCTGGGGGATTAATGTACAAAGAATGGTTTTCAATTGAAGAAGTCCTTTGGAGTATTCGGCCTTAAATCATTTGACGATGGTTCCATCCATATGCTAACAATTAAGCCATTAAAGTAAACAAGCAATATTTCTTTTGTTCAAATTAACGATGAACTCCTTGCTGTAAAATGAAAATTTTCCGTTCTTATTGCGTGACATTAAAGAGTCAAATGGTATTCGCATAAAAATACTTTGCCTTCAAGTTTTAAGTAGTAACTGATCCCATCAGAGGAGCAGTTTCATTCACGTGGGCAGGTCGAATTCCGAAGCCATAAACTGGACAACGGCAGGCTATTCTGGCCTTCTGGGTTACTGAGAAATGAAGAGAGTATTGGGGATTTAAGAAGTTGTATAGGCGTGAGTGGGTTGGATAAAACAGTGTGATTGAGACAATACATATACGTAGTACACATAGAGGGAAGAAGCAAAAATGTGGGTTAAAGTGGGTACCATTTCCGTTTTTTTTTTTTTGGATTTGTTGTATTAGGGTATATACAAGGCAATTATAATATAGGGATCTTAGGTACACCTAATGTGAGTCTCACGTGATCCAAAAATGGGCATTTCTCAATATTTACAGCAATTCCATTTAATTCCCCATTTTATGGGATTTTTAGAATTTCAAATCCCACCATTTCCTCCTAATTTTCAGCCATTAACCATATCCATCTTACACCCCATTCATCACAATCCGTCTCAAACACAAAAAAAAAATAAAAAAACTAAATTTTCTCTACAGCGATTTGGCCAGAAAACCTCTCGTCGGCTGGATTTTTTGGGACGAAATCAGATTGTGCATAAAATCCAGTGAAAATTGTGGAAATATACTCTGTTCAAGATGCGATTTAAGGTAATACATGAACAAAATCATCCACGCAGAAACCACCGATTGAGGAGCTGAACCGAACAGAAGCAGTTCGGAAAGTGAAGATGAACGAAGGTAATACTATTAATCTTTTGGACTATTGATGCGTTTTTTGATGGGTTTTGTAGATTTACTATATATGCATTCAATTATGCATATCTGTTCATCAAAGTTTAAAGTTTTCTTCGTATTCAACCATTGGTGTTTTTTTTTTGTTTGGGTTCTGTAGATGTAAGGTATATTCACTCGATTGACGATGTTTGTTCATCAATTTTAGAGTTTTGTTCTTTTATTGGACGTTGTTTTTCTGGAAAATTGGTAGATTTTTGTATTATTTATCAGGTTGATATAGTTATTCATTGTTGAAATTGTCAGATTCATTGTTTACCATAACTATGTAGTGTTATTTTTTTAGTAAATTAGTAGATATTTGTATTATTTATCAGTTTGGTATAATTATTTATCGCTGAAATTGTCAGATTCATTGTTTACCATAACTATGTAGTATTGTTTTTTTGGTAAATTACTAGATCTTTGTATTATTCATCAGTTTGGTATAATTATTCATTGTTGAAATTGTCGGATTCATCGTTTACTATAACTATGTAGTATTGTTTTTTTGGTAAAAAATTCATCACATCTGACAAGTTATTCATGCAATTTGTAAACATATTGTAGCATGAGCGAAGAATATCAGACAGAATCTGAAAGAAGCATGAGCGAAGAACAACAATCAGAAGCCGAAAGAAGCAGGATATCTGAATCTGCAAAAAGACCGAACCACAATAAGTGTAAACATTGATATAGAGGGTTATTCGGCAGTTTTGTAAACTAGTATTATTTTTTTGGTAAATTAGTAGATTTTATATTATTCATCAGTTTGGTATAATTATTCATTGTTAAAATTACCGTATTCATCAGTTTGGTATAATTATTCATTGTTGAAATTGCCGTATTCATCAGTTTAGTATAATTATTTATTGTTGTATATCATCTAACTCATGAATTTTTTACTCTTCGTTTGCTGTATGCAAATTGCTTCCAATATACAACACCAGATTTGGACATTTTTCAATCTTTGAACCTTTTTATTGAAAAAACAATGCGCTCAAATTATAAGCAGCGAAAGCCTCTTTCTCAGATTTGAAATATCGTCCAATTATTCATTAATAAGAACTCGTTATTCATTAATTAACGTAAGATATTCATCATAAAAACGTAATAAGATAATACACCATTGGTCAGAAAACAACAATGAAATTCCTGTTCATCATTAACCATATAATACGCATTACCTCACGCATGTATATTCATCAATAAAATGAATACATTCTATATCAATCATCTTTCAATAATTGCATAACATTATTCATTGTCTAAATAATGGTTATTCATTACTGGGAAAATACACATTGATTCTCCATATTCATAAGTCTCAATGATTAACTATAGTCAATTTTACTAAAATAAAATCTATCGTTATAAAAAAATTATCTCATGAAACAAAATAATATAAAAACTAACATAATAAGCAAATAAAAAAAAAGATTTGAAATTAATCGAGTGCCAAAAAAAAGGGGATAAGATCAGGGAGTTAAATACTAAAAAAAATGGATAAGATAAGGGGATTAAATTCCAAAAAAGGGGGGATAAAATTGGGTGATTAAATGCGTGTGTGGACTCTCTTTTTACCCGGGCTCAAAAATTTCAATTTCTTTTCCCTTGTGTGTGATTCACACACTGCCTAGGTTGCAAGGTGTACCTTGGATCTTAATATTATTTGTCTATACAAGGTATTACTCAAATACTTTTCTTGTCCCTC